GCCGCGGCGCGGGCGCCGGCTTCTCCCCCTCCCTCCCAGGCTCTCAAGTCTGGGAGGGAGGGGGAGCAGCGGTCGCGCGAAATAGCCGTTTCGCGCACCGCGGCCGCTCGGGATCTCCCCCTCCCTCCCAGGTTTTGAGAGCCTGGGAGGGAGGGCGAGTAGCGGCGCGCGAAACGGCTGCTCGGGATCTCCCCCTCCCTCCCAGGCTTGAGAGCCTGGGAGGGAGGGCGAGTAGCGGCGCGCGAATCAGCTGTTTCACGCGCCGTGGCAGCAGCAGCGGAGGTGAGCTAGGGCGGCCGGGGCACATTTTTAGGGGCGGCATTCTGGCGCCGGCCATGCCGCCCCTAAAAAATGTGCCGCCCCAAGCACCAGCTTGTTTTGCTGGTGCCTAGAGCCGGCCCTGGATCTCCCCACTGGGAGCAGTCATGCAGGGGAAGAACAGCCCCAGTCCCTCCCTACCCTGGCCTGGATAAGCAGCTAGGAGCCCCCAGCTGAGGCGCTCTCAGCAGCATGGGGAGATTGGATTTCATGGGGAAGGGGTTATTTCACGGTCCGGGACACACTTTTCATGGTCGTGAAATTGGTAGGGCCCTAGTTATAGGTTTTAGATGTGGGTATTGTCTAATATTAATGAAAATACCAATATGACATACACATTTTAATGTAATATTTTTCTCTTTTCAGTTGCAAATGAGACAGGCAACAAAAATGCTCGACCGCTTTCACGATTTGCTCGTAAGTAACCAATTTTTAACTCATTCACTTCTACACTTACTGTGTTGCATAGAAATGTATCTCTAGTAAATCTCATTAACTCCTGGCACCCCAGCTTATGTTACAATATAGAGTTCTGGAGCCTTAAAATTCCTCCTGACCTTGCAGGAAATGTCTGTTACAAGAACGCAATGATATTGAATGGAATTCCTTCTTCAGAGCAGGGAGAATTTTAAAGCTGTAGACTACCTTCCTGTTTCAAATTGCACTTTTGTTGTAACAACACAGATGGTCAATAATCGCCTGATGCAAAGTCCACTGAAGTCAATGGAAAGACTCCTTTTGGCTTCAACAGACTTTGGATCAGGCCCTAAAATAGTATTGCAAGGATGCTTTTTAACCAAATCAGTAAATCTTTCAGCACCTCTTGCTATATATACACTCAGTTTGTGATACTAGAGGGAGTATAAATTAAGCAAAAGAGAACTTGAGTCGGATATGAATCTGAAACAGAGGCATCTATTAGCTGGGGAATAACTTCCTTGGGCTACTAGAAGTTTATTCACATGGGTCTGACACTGACAGACAGACAACCTGTGTATGATCCATAACAATTTAACAAGAGGCACTGAAATGTAATCAAGACAACCTACTTGTATGTGAACTTCAAAGAGATCTAGTATACCAGCAATCATTAACCCATTTATTTGTAGGTTTATTTGTAAATCAAGGGTAGAAGCTAAGTGTATTTGTCTGTGTTTACCTATATATTGTTAGGAGTTTAACCATGTAACTAGATTAGCTTGTAGATGCTAATTCCTTTTCATGTCTTAATTGCCTTATTATTCATGAAGATGGTTCAGTTAACCTTAAGATCAAAGATATAAGATCCTGTAGGAAACTAATAATATTATCTGCATTGTTTTCAGCTTGACTTTCTATGCTATAATAAAGTACTATAATTGCCTTATGTGAATGAATGCACTAGTTTACCTGTGTATGCATAGGAAATAGAAGATTAGCTTCAAAGCAATGGTCCATGGATCTTTGCCAGTTCTTCCTCTGGGGAAGGTCCTGCTGTGACAAGAGGCTTGTCAAGTTGCTAGAGGGCTATAAAGGAAAGCCCCACCTGATCATGCCATCTCAGGTCTGCTTAAACTTTAACAGGGAAGGTCTAAGGCAGGGGTTCTCAAACTGGGGGCTGGGACCCCTCGGGGGGTCGTGAGGTTATTACATGGAGGGTCGCGAGTTGTCAGCCTCTACCCCAAGCCCTGCTTTGCCTCCAGCATTTATAATATATAAAAAAGTGTTTTTAATTTATGGGGGGGGGGTCGCAGTCAGAGGCTTGCTATGTGAAAGGGGTCACCAGTACAAAAGTTTGAGAACCACTGGTCTAAGGCATAAGACTGGGGTTTCTAGGTTTACTCTGGATCACCCTGGAATTCTCATGGAAGAATTTGAACAGACTATGTATACACCTGGACTGCCTATTGGACTATAACCTTTTAAATTGATTCCAGAAAAAGTCTTACAAATCAGCAGCCTCACCATCTGTACTATGAAACTGACCTAAGGACTTTACACATATTTGTGTGTATATTGATCTTTTAACCAATTGCAACTCTCTTCTTTTTCTTTTTTATTATTAAACCTTTAGTTCTAGTTACTAAAACATTGGCATCAGCGTGATTATTGGGTAAGGTCTGAGACTCCTATTGATCTGGGGATAAGTGTCCAGTCCTTTGGGACTGGTGAACCTCCCATATGGTGAATCAGGTTTTCAGTAATCTCTCACTATATTAGATTTGGCTATCTAGATGGGAGACAAGGGCTGGAATGCTTAAGGGAGACTGTATTTGACGTTTTTGTTACCCTTTTGTTAAGGGTAACACCTTCAGAAAACTGGTGTCTCACTGTAGGCAAAAAAAAAAATTATTTTCAAACTTTGGCTATCCTAATATACAGTACACACAGTGATTGTGTCAAACCTGCCTTTGTACCTGCAAATAGGCACCTGAGAACACAACGCTTAAGTGCCCATTTAAAAAATAAATGCACCTGACTTTTAAGATCATTTACATGTATGTTGGTTGAAAATTGATTTCCTCTCATTGAGCGCATCAGAAGAAAATACATCTGGAGTGCAGTATTTCCACACAGTCACATGATGGCACTCTAAGCATATTGTACACTGTATAGATGAAACGTTTGACTAAATCATATCAGATATAATGATTCAGAGAGACTACATATGCAGAAAAGCGAACAAGCTAAACTGAAGTAAGAAAATAATAAATTGTACTGGCATGTCAGTTTGATTTAAGATTTATTTTTCCCAAATTTGTAAACAACAGAGCCTTAAGTTAGGGGACTCCATCGATTAATTATTGTTAGTCCGTTGCTAAAATAGCAAATGGTGATGAAATTGCAAAGGAAAGCAGATGAAAAACATGAACGTTTTTTGAACTTTTTTCTCAAACTTCTTTTTAGTTCATTATAGTTGGTAACAAGCGTGCTCTGGGATTGTAGGTTACTATTCAAATATCACCGGAGGCTGAGTTTTTGGGTTAAGGGGCTATCGTTTACTTATGCTGCAATATCTGTCATTAGTGGGGCCAGCATAAGTCATGACATGGGGGCTAAGCTGGCATTTCAGTACAAAACTAGACATTAATAATAACATGATTTATGAAGGCAAGGATGGTCGTGTATAAAGCATAGGCCTAAACCTCAGGACATCTGGGTTCTGTTCTTGGTTCTCCCTGGTTTTGGATCCATCAGACCACATTTTTAGAGATGGTGCCCACTGAATTCAATACTGTTAGCCGACTCATGGCCTTCAGGTAAGTGCCATGCATAGGGGCCCCTGCTGCAATCAATGGTTTCCTGACCCTGTGAAGTGAGTTTCTTAGTTCCCAAGGCCACTTGCTGGCTTGTGGAGAGTAATATTAATAAAACAAAGACAGTAACTCAATTTAGTCCTTTTGTATGATCGTCACGGTGACACAAGATGGGCTTCAAGTAGGTTAATTAAAGGGATGAAAAAGACCTTTTTGGGTAAGAGTTTGACCTTGTAACTTGGTAGCCAGGCTGGAGATATAATGACTCAGTCAGTTTGGTGGTGATTACCCCTCATTAGGAGTGATATAAGGCAGTAACTCCTATAAGGATGTGAACAAAAGCTAAAGTTAGAACTGTGTTGGCAAAAATAGAGAGATCCATCAGGCAGTAATTGTGTCAGTATTTGCTGCAGCAACAGGTGACTCCAAATGATATAGGGAGGTAGCAATAACACAATAATTTACTCCACATTTCCTGAGTGGTGCCATATTTTAAGTGAACACACACAGCAGTACAATACAAAAACAAATCTTAGCTGAATGGTATAAAAAGCAGTGTTCAAGGACTGGTAATTGAGGAACACCTGAAATAGTGTGGGATTGTTACAGATGGGCTCAAAGCAACAACTTTAGTTATGTCTGGATTCAGGTTTTTATAGAGCTAGAGACCAGCTCTGAAGCGTGGACCTGTATCTGAAATTCCTAATATATTTGGGGGATCTAGGCTTTGAATTCAGGACTGTTGCTATACATAATGGAGGAAAAACAAATAGGGCCATTGGCCACCTGCATCTGGCCAGAAAATTGTTCCCCATCCTGTTTAGACACAGGACCTGGTACTGATAATCTACCTATTCATGGCCTTCAGAGCTGATTAGTTTGAAATAAAAGAGGAGTTAAGTTGTATTTGTTCTAAAGGTTCATGTTAGCCAATTTTATGTATTTTTAAATGCCAGGTTTCATTGTATAAAGGGATATTTGGCGACCAGCTACTTTTGTGAAAGTTGCTACTACTCTTATCGCTGCAATAGTTGGTATCGTAGCATGCCATCTTCGTTATGAAGTTGTGGTGCACCATCAGGCTTTGAACAGTTGTGCTTGTGGCTATAGGGAGTTAAATCCATAAGGCTTACCGTTCAGCGATTCAGACAGCTGAAAGATTCTGACAGATGTCTGCCCACGAAGAGCCATAGGGGAAAACAATCCTTTGCTGTCTGCAGTTCACCTAAGCCTAATTGTTTATGTATAATGAATAGCCTGAACAGTCAATGTAAGATGGGTGGACATGGCATTTCATCACTCTAGTGAAGTGAATTAGATTTGGCTTAATGGTTGGCTTACTCCAACATGTAGATCTCAATAGAAATTTATCAGACTATAGAGTTTCTGATAAACAGCAAGAGAGAGACTCCTACCATTGGGGGACAGATTTGGAAACAATGTACAAAATGCAGTAAATAATTTTAGCACCTTTTCTTTCTCCTGCTGTTTAATGTTTCTGGTTTTAATAAGTTTTCTCCCTCATAATTCAGCTTTTCCTTTTTGGAGCCATTGGTTAAGCTGTTATTTTCCATGTTCTACCAGATTACTATAATAGTGATTTGTGATGTCATAAATCCAACACCGAAGTTTCTGCAGGCTGAGGTAGGAGAGAAGGGACTGCAGGCCAAATAATAATATGATCCAAACTTTGTTCATGCAAACAGTTGGATTTGAGACCTGCGAAACCCAGTACTAGAGATAGGTGATTTAGGGAGAGCACATAGTAGGCTAGGCAGGTTTGAGGGGCAGTGTGGTCTAGTGGATAGAGCACTGGACTGGGATTCAGGACACCTGGGTTTTATTCCAGGCTCTGCATCTGCCTTGAGGTGACTTTAGGCACAGATGGCAATTAGACACTTAATACCCATTGACAATCGAGGTAGTTAGGTGCCTAACCACTCAGGACCTCATTGTGCTTTGTGTTGTACAGGCACAGAACAAAAAGGCAGTCTCTGTCCCAAAGAGCTTATAATAGACGTAATCCTTTTTCCTCTTGAGAGGGTAGCATGGGATGGTCAGGAGCTGAGACTTGGATGAGGAAGAATTTTCAGAGAGGAGAGGTCCAAACTTATTTTCTCAGCGGGTGCCTGACACACATCCCTGATTCTGGCTCCCCCTTTTCTTTCTCCCCCACCCCCGCCCCAAGGAACCATGATCACAAAGGATATTGCGCCAGCCTTAACTAGATTATATCCTAGGAAGCTGTATGGGCTGCTGACTGAGAAACATGTGGGTCAGGGAGATCTAGGTAAACTGACAAATCTGAGGGGAGAGGGAGGAGGGAGGTTGTTCTTCCTGTCCGGCTCATATTTTCTTAATTAGTTGGCCACAGACCAAGCCTGTATATCACTTTTCCGGTGTGAAAACAGCATACATCTTTGATAAGACAAATAATGACAAAGCATAACTGTCATCCTCTGTATACAGGAACAGATGCCATTAATATTAATGCTATATTTCCCTGTGACATTCTCTCAGGAGGTAGGGTGGCAAGAGTGCTTTATTCAATCTTTTACTGCCCACTTTATGTATTATAGTGACAGACAGTCAGGACTAATTAAGAACTGTTAGTTCTGTCATGTGCTTTTTAGTCAGTGCTACTGGACAATTTGCTTCTGAATGGCAGAGGAATGCTTGGAAACTTACAAAAGCAGTGCTGTATAAAAGTGAGTCACTAACTTTAGTATGAACCCCATTTCTCCCAACTGAATTTTGCATGTAGTTACAAGCCTCTGGAGCAAGACCAGAAGCAGGTTTGTTATTCTGAAGAGGGGGTTATCTTTTTATGCTAGTAGGGCTAATGCTACATCATTATAGTGTGATGCCTGTTGGCACTACTATAGCTAATTTCAGTTATAAACCACTCTTCTTGCATCTGCTAATTAAACCATAAGCATTCTATGCTGTCTGAAACTTGGCATGTAGCAGGCGTTTGGCGTGGTAGTAGAGATCAGATTTTCAAAAGTGCTGAAGTGAGTTAGAAGCACAAGTCATGTGGGCATTTTTGAAGATCTCATCCATAGTTTTGTCCATGTTTATTTTTTATTTTACTGTAATTTTTTTTTAAGTTGCAAGACCTGATGTAGGGAAATACTGTCCCTTGAAGTCTTTTCTTTTTTTCTTTTCTTTTTTTAAAAAAAATGTCTTCATGTGACTTTCATGTTGGTGAAAGACTGGCAAATCCTGGAGATGGAAGAGATGATCAAATTATATTGTTTTAAAAAGCAGATGCTATGTTTAACTAATAGTGCTCCCGGAAATTTTTCATATAGAAGTTTTTGTTGTTGAAAAATGGCCTTTTTAAAAATAACTAAACTTTTTGCCAAACACTGTTGCCATTACAGATTTTATTTATTGTTGAGAGGTGGTGGAATTTCACAATATTTTCACTTTAAAAATTTTTTTTACTAAAAGGTCTAATTGTAGCAAGTCGGGGATCTGAATTTAGGTGCTTCGTTACCTGATTTGGCATTCTGTGCACTGTGGAGAGGGTGTAGGAATGTTGCCATTGGCCATATGGCAGCATAGGAGCTGAATGTAAAATTTTCATCAAAAAGGAATTTTGACAAAAATGTTTCATGAAACTTTTGTGAAAAAATATTTTCTGTCCAGCTCTAATCAAAATGCATTTAAGTGAGAACATTCCTCTAAACATCTAGGTTAGCTGCTTCAGGGTATGCCACATTTTTCTCTTGACATCTGGGGATTTTCACATGTACTTTGGTATTGATAAGAACTGTAAGGGTGAGAGAAAAGTCACATAACCCCTTAAGCCAAGCATATGGCTTTTTAGAGTTTTAGATGGCAGTGAAGTAGCTGTATAGTTTACAAATGTGTGTTGAGAATCTTGGGTGATGCCTGTGTTCTCAACTCTGAGATATTCTGGTCACACAAAGACTGATTAGTGATAGAGCTAGTAATAAACCTTTTCTTTTTTCCTGAAGATCAACATACATATTAAAAATGCCCCTCAAAGGGCCAGTCAGAATGCTTTTTGACAGAAAATAGGGTTTTCAACTAAACAAATTTTTCACAAAGTGTCTTTTTCTCTGTGGGCAATTTCTGTTTTTATTGAAAAAACTGAACTCTTGGAAACCAAAATATTTTGGTTGAAAACTGCAAAATATTTTGATTTGGAAATACTGCTGCAATGCCTCATAGGAGTTGAAGTTCGGTAGCTACATATCTCCATTCTCCTCTGTGGAATGGACTCCCAGGCCAGATGGCAACTTCCATGATTCATCATGGTGAGGGACTGCCACAATTCATTACCTTCCCTCTCCAAGGTGTGTGTGTGTGTGTGGGGGGGGGGAACACGATGCATCATGTGAGATGTAGTCAAACCACAGATCCTTGCCTATAGAGAAGGGTGGGATCATGAGGAATCAGACCTGCCATGAGGCATCACAGCAGTCTTTCCAAATTGAATATTTTGATTTTTCTCACACACTTTGGTATTTGAATTGCCATTGAAAAAAATCAAAATTTTCCATGAAAAGAAATCCATTTTTCAACCAGCTCTAGTCCCTCAGACAGACACATTTTTGGTCTATAATCTAATCTTAATAAATTAGAAACACGATAACTAATTGTAGCGAAGAAATAATTAGAAGCCAATATCTTGTGTTGAGCTGACACTTAACTTGGTTGTTAGCTGTCTGGCTTAAACACAATCATGTTCCCATGACATGATCAGTTGTAGCTTGAGTGTGAAGAATAATGGAAGAATACTTTCTACTGACAATTATTTTTGTTTTGTAAATAAATCTTTAATCAAAGAGGACAATGTAGGTTAGGATTTGAAAACGATATCCTGAATGTTAGTGTTTATTTCCATTTTGGACTTAAGTCTGTAGGTACAGCTCCAAATTCTAGACACCCAATGGTAAAGACATAATTTGCTATGTTTCTTTCTCCAGAGTGCTGAGAAAACAGGTTAGCACTCTGATGAATTAATTTTCTCTCTCTCTCTCTCTAGGGTCAAAGTCACAAAACTGCGTATGGAACACCATTATTGGTGGGCTTACCGATAATCTCAAAGAAAGGCAGAAGCCAACCATCATTCATGATCCTAGGACTCCAGAGGAAATCTTAGCAGATGAGTTACCGCCAGTGGACAGTCCAGAAGCATTAGTGAAAACATCTTTCAGGTTTGATGGACATGAACACATTTTGCTTTTCCTTAATTAGGTTTCTTTTAAGTTAGGCAACTGTACTGTGGATTTGATTAAATAAGTCAATATAGTGGTGCCTTCTGCTATGTGGCGTGTCTTTGAACTGAACAGGATTGAAGAAAGAGGGTCATAAGTAATGCTGTTCGGATTGCTGACTTTCATTTCTCAGACCTCATTACAAGATTATAGGCTAGACAGATATAATGCAGTAGAGAGTCAACATTCTGTTGAGAGAGTTTGTTACATGAAATGATCTTTGAAGGTTGGTATTGTTTCATGTGAATCTCTTGTACTGACGAAGCCCTGCACTTTACAGGCAGATAAAATCCTGTACTGATATAGGGGCAAACTGAGTCTTTTGTCTGTTGATCTGAAGTCTTGAGAACTATATGGCATTAATGTATTTTTGTCAAGGAGGATGATTCCTGGAAAGGGGATTGTGTGAAGGTGACTTATGCTGTCATAAATGTGAGATACTTACATTATTTTACTTCCTTCCAACTTGCTTATTCATGTGAGTGTTCATTTGGCAAGCGTTTCTTTGAAGCATCTTTTGTTGACTATAGTTTCCCCAAACAAATGAATTAAAATAGAAAAGCTGTACCTGTGAGGTAGATATTTGATAGAAGTTTCAAAATCTGAGTGCCAAATGCACAGCAATACCTAGCAGTGTTTATTTTTCTTTTGGAGGCTTTGTTTTTAAACTATTCTCTCTTTTATATTACATATTGCTCCACACCAAAAGCATTTCCTGTTTGTACAGATGTGTCTGTGGCAAACTCTGTGGTTTTTATTATACTCTAGGGTATAAACTGTTATCAGTCTTGGTATAGTGACACTATTTTTTAGTGTGCCCGTTAAAGCCCTTTGCCCAGGTACTGATCTCAGACACCTTGTGAGCATTGCCTGGTATCTCAAAAAATCCCTTGCTGTGCATTCATGTCAGGTTTTCCGTGCTTGAATTTTGTAGTGAGGCAGTGAGCAGTGCTGCATGTTTCAGAATCTGGAGCTGCTTTTTATGATGAAGTTGTGATTTTTTTTTTAAATTAAACAAAGTTTAGCCTAATTTTGTCTTTCTCTGATATTTAGAAATCAATTGTCAAATCAAGACCCCCAAATATAAAGCTCTCTGTCTCACTCAAAATCTTTCATTAAGAAATCATGGTCAAGAGCAACCTTTACACTTCTGTAATCCATATTATTCCAACTATTTTTTTTTAAAAGTGTTACTGCTTCTCAAATGGTGCAATCTGATTATATGAGTGGGGTGGTTCTTAGTGTATGTATGATCCCAGATAGAATAATAGGAGGAACTGATAAATTGGAGAATGCAATTCAGTTACACAGCTCTCCTAATGTTGTGTAAACGGTTTTACAAATGTCAGAACAACCCTGGTATCATTTGTATCTGTAGGTAGTTACTTTACCATGTGGTGTGCTGTTTAGACTATCATAAAATTAAATCCAAACAAATTGTTAGTATGAAGCATAATGTATCTATCTGTTTAGTTATACCAAGAGAGTGCAAATGTAATCCATGACACTGAAAATAATGTGGTCCATTGCACTTCCTATGTTAAAGAAGACAGAAAATAAAGAAAATTAAAATATATTAAAAGTAAAATATAATTTTTGAATTCTGTTTAAGATCTCAGGTGAAAATATTCCATGAAATGGTAACGGCAATGCAATCTTTCCAGGTTCATTTGATATATTCACACGTGCTTTCTGTTAAGCAGAAGTGAAGGTTTGGTGCTAAATATACCTGTGAGTGACTACAGCGTTGAAAACATAAAGATAGTGGATAAAATCCTAGTCCTATTGAAGTCAGTGACAACTCCTATTGACTTCAATGCACCCAGGACTTCATCTAATAAATTTATTGGATGGACAGGAAATTTTGATTATTACCAAGCTGCACTTAGAGTGGGGCATGGGGCAGGTAGGTAATAATTATATATTTTATTTATTTTCCATTGAGTTGTTTCAAAGGTGTAGTGAAGATAGAGATACAATGAGAACAATAAAAAGCAACAGAGAGCCCTGTGGCACCTTTAAGACTAACAGATGTATTGGAGCATAAGCTTTCGTGGGTGAATGCCCACTTCGTCGGATGCATGTAATGGAAATTTCCAGGGGCAGGTATAAATATGCTGGCAAGAATCAGTCTGGAGATAACGAGGTTAGTTCAATCAGGGACGGTGAGGTCCTCTGCTAGCAGTTGAAGTTAGAACACCAAGGGGGGAGAAACTGCTTCTGTAGTTGGCTAGCCGTTCACAGTCTTTGTTTAATCCTGATCTGATGGTGTCAAATTTGCAAGTGACCTGAAGCTCAGCAGTTTCTCTTTGGAGTCTGGTCCTGAAGTTTTTTTTGTTGTAAGATGGCTACCTTTACATCTGCTATTGTGTGGCCAGGGAGGTTGAAGTGTTCTCCTTCACAATGTGATGACGAGATATATGCCAAATCTACTATGAAAATATCATGGTCATGACACAAAGTGGAAGTAACAGAAGCCTAATAAGAATTAATATGTATTTCTGATATTTTATATTTATTGGCGTGTTGTAGTATATGCAGCATTTTTTACCACAAATTACTGTGCCATATTATATGTTCAGTAAAAATTTTGCTGAATTAATTTTGTGGGTTAAAACCAATCCTTCAAGGGGCTCAGCACCTGTCAATAGGCATCAGCACCTTGTAGGGTTCGCTCTTGTTTGTGATTCATCAGGTTTCTCTTTATGGAGGGAGCTCTTATGATGTTACTGAGTGGGTCCAGTGTGTCTGGTGGCTGATGGGTACCTGGCAAATATGAAACTCTCTTTTCCTCTTGTCTTGTTGCCCACAACACACCAAGTGGTGACCCCTAGGGGAGAGAAGGCTTCATCCCACCTCTCTTGTCATCTAGGGGAGTAAATGTGCTACCACAGTTGTTCAGTCTAGCTGCCCTTGACTAGAAGGTTGGTGGCTTTAACACAGGTATTTATGGAAGAGAATGTCAGGTTGTTATTAACATTCCAACTTCCATTGGAGTCAAAGGCAAGATTCCCATTTACTTTGATGGGAGCAGGAGCTGGCCTTTTATTATAAGGTCACTATTATAAACAATAAAATACATGAACTCTCACTATTTTTGACTCACCAATGTCAGCAAACCGAGAGCAATATATGGTCATACCATCCCTTTCTAGTGTAGTTAAAAGAAAGCGTCTCTCCTGTGTCAGATGAGTCACATTTCCTTATGATTGCTACTATCTTTCATGTAATTATATACATACAGCAGCATAAAATTCCAACTACACCTCTGACACTTGATTCTGTGTTGTCTCATGTGCAGTGCTCATTGTTATGTAACATGGAAAATTAGCAAGTGCTGTAGCTTGATTTTGCTTCACAACTGGCTATGAACATGAAAATACATGGCTATTTTGGATCTTAATTTTTATATAGTTTTATACCGTTTGGGTCCAATGATCACCTTCTCCTTGAATGTATGTGTGTGTATAGCAGTGTATGAAATATATTGGACAGTGCTTGCAGCTTGATGCACAGGAACTTTGGACAATGCTTATAAGGCTTTTTTCAGTGGCATAACAAGACCTCAGACGGCCCTGGTACAACAATAGGTTAGGGGTCCTTCTCCCAGGTCTGGAGACCTGCTCCCCATCCCTCCCCGCAACCCTTCCCCTGAAGTTGCTCAGTTCAACCACAAAGGGACCTGGGTCCTCCACACCTCCTCCCATCCCAGCCTGTACTTTCTGGAGGAGCTCCTCACTGTTGAAGTACAGCTGCAGTGAGAGTCCAGGGTCATGGCAGCTGGGGCAGGGCCCGTAGGAGCTTCAGCCCCAACAGCTTTGGGACCGCTCTTAGTGGCACTGCCAAACAGCTCAGTGCCTGAGCTTTGTGGCTGCACTTGTACCCATGCCAGGGACAGGGAGTGGCTGGGGATGAGGTGGGAGCGCTTTTCACTCTTCAAAGCCCCTGGAGAGGGGCACAAGCACTTCCCCTGCAGCCTGGCCAGCTGGGGGCTGCTTCCTGCTCCTCAGGTCCCTGGGGAAGGGACAGGAGCACTTTGCTGGTAGCCTGGCTGGGGGCAATAGTCTTCTATTGCCCCCAGCAGAGGGGGCAGCCTCTGCTGGGCCCATAATATTGTGAGTCCTGGCACACCTGTATCACTTGCACCATAGTAGCTTTTTTCCAGTGCTGCTGAGATCTTCCTCACTAGAGTACTTGTTGTCTTTATCTGTCACTTTGGTATTTCTAGAAACAGTCATTCCTGGGAGTGACTTGTGAAGCAGTTTTGGGCTGGTGGGAATTCAAGGTCTCACATTCACATCTGCGAATTATCTGCTGTTTCCATTATGAGCAACCCAACAGTGAAAGTGTTAATTATGTTAATGGTAATCATTGGCCATTTGCAATTCTTATTACTACTTCAAGTGCAGCAGGTAGTAACTGGTGATTCACAACATAGTTTAGCATACTGTTGCAGGCATAGCTTCATTAAGGGATTACCAAAATGGTCATTTTAGTGACGCAAGACTCCACTAGAGAGTGCAAAGAAACAATAGATAACAGCTCTGAATTTTCTTATGCAATATTGCATAAAAGTTGGGGAAGTATTTTATGTACAAAGAATTTGTTGCCTGAGTTTCCAAAGTACCGTCTGCAGTGAACTAAGTCACCAAATTGCATTACTGCTTCAGAGTGTCACATAAGAAAACTTGGAATGCCAAGCCAACCACTTAAGGATTTTTCTTAAATTAATTTGTTTTTGCTGTACTGTAGGGGATTGCCACCTGGATGAGTAGTATTTTAAATTAGCTTAGTGATTGGTGTTTAAAACATGAAAGCCAAGCATTTTCTTGTAATGTTTTTATATCCCTTTAAAGGATACCCAGGTCTCACTAAATGTTCATTGAACCAAAATATCCTTAAAAATCATCATGATGGGCATCTCTCTCAACTCTGGCTCA